TGTAATGATTCAGACAGACATGAATGAGTATTACAGTATGAATCATTTACATGTGATGAAACTATAAACAGGGTTTTTGGAAAAGCCATACTTCCTTTATTTGTAGACAGAACTGTGCTAATCTGAAGTTCAAGAGGTAAAGCCTGTTTATTGCTCGCTCTGCATGAATCGTTTTCGCTGACTGTAAAATTGGCCTTGTTTGTTTAGCAACGTCTGTAGGTTGTTTCTCTGTCCAAAATCAATGCAGATTCCTGGCATGCAAGTTTGCACAACGTCAGACATGAAAGTTTTAGGTTTGCCACCAACATTAGCTCCAATTAATTGTAAATATCATTGTTTGTTAATTTTTTTTCCTAATGTGGCAAAAATAATCCGGTTTCTAATTTAAGCCTGTAACACCCGTGCAATCAATGCTTTTTGATTTCTCCTTCGTTGCCTGAGGTTCACTCTGTTTACATCGGCTGCTTCTTAAGTCTGAAGATTTCATTTGTCTAAGCCTCTTTGGAGTGCTTTGGCCCTTTCTGACCATGATGTACTTGGGGTGACATATGTTCCTATAAACTTGTTGAGATCCTTTTAGGATCACAACACATTTAAAGCTCTGTTTTCAGATACATGTGATTGCAGAAATAGATTGACTTGCTTTGAGCTTCAAACCCTCAAATCCAGGTGATAATTGCACAGGCTGAGCATTGTCTGAGTTTGATCAATGCCACTAAAGCCGCAAAAGTGAAAGATAGAGTGACATTGATCACCCATGAGGTCGACAGAACACTTGTACATTGTTGACTTGCATCTGTACTGTAATCTACCGTATATTACAGAAGTTGTGCATTGTTAAATTTGCACTGTTGAGAGAAAACAAAACGCAGATAAGTCACATCAGTGTATAAAGATATAGTTCTAAAAATCGTTCTAAATATAAAAGAATAGCAGAGTCCACAACTATAACTATAACAGCAATCACTTTCAGAACAATTGTTTCCAGCTGATGAAAGATTAAAACATTGACAGCAAAAAAGCTCGAGCATTTAAAGCGGCGGAAGACAAAATTGGCAGCGCGCTTATAAGCAGAACAATATTGTCCACAGGTATGGACGCTAATATTGTTGTTATAGTTATCTGTTTATCTTTCTTGGTGTGAACAAATTTAAATACTGGTAAAGCGAAATGTTTACAAATATTATAAACATATTTCAGTTCCCTCACTCCACAACAAAAAAGTATGTAACTAATTTATTTAAAGCTAAAATGAAACTTGCGCATGTAGAAAATGCACTATACAAATAAAATTGTCTCTTTTGGCAAAAAATCCAAATTTGTGAATGTTTTGCTTCCTTGAGGTTAACTGCATAATATAAATCATTTGGGAACATAAATCACAGCACATTTCATATATATAAAAAAGTGATTTATATTACGTAAAACATGTTTTTAGTGTGACCCCACGGACCCACGGTCGAGGTATACACCCCCACCCCCCATTTTTAAAGATATTAGTTAAGATGCTTAGAGCAAAATTGTAGCTTTAACATTTATTAATTTAGCAGACACTTTAATCCATAGCAAATAGTAATACAAGTAAAAGTCTACTTAATGCTATATTTGATTTAGGATCATAAATTGGAGTTTTTGGACACGGAAATCTGTATTATCTATATGTCTTGGCTTCCCTTAACCCTTCTTACTGAGATTATGGCAGCCTCTCCCTGGTAAACAGATTATGGAGACAGCCAGACCGCTGAGGATTACTATGCAATTTTATGATCATTATTAGAGTAGTTAGGGTTAACCAACTTCCCAGTTTCTGATAATCAGAATAATTCCTTTCATTTGAATGACTTTGTATCCTTGACAACTCCAGGTGTCCAGGCCACCAGCAAAGCATTTCAATCCAGTTTTATTGACTCGAGTGCTTCCACATAAACTCTTAAGCATAATCCTCTATGGGTTGGCTCTGCTGTGTGGTGGTAAAGAGAGGGCCACTGCCTCAAACGGTGTTGATTCCCTCCTCCACACTGAACAGCCTCTTTTCTCCTCCCCCTCCCCCTCTTACCCAGTGTGTAGGTTGCTTTAGGATAACCGGAGCGCTCATGGTGGAGACCGCGGTGGTCGTTGCGTTTTAGAGGGGGTCTGGTACCTCGTTTGGGATGGGGATGTTGAACGATCGCGTTCTGTTGGACTAGAACGGGCAGCGGATGAACAGAAGACGCGGTGTCTCCAATGCATTCTGCTTGTTAATCTGAATGTACCGTCTGTTATGTCGGCGCAGTGCCATATTGAGAGGCTACTGTAAAATAAACGTGGGCATCACGCATTGATTTGAGAAAACACCCAATGACATGTTCGAGTAAGTAGCAAATGGGTTAGTTATTTTATGCAATGCATGCGAATGTTGTATTTGTACAAAACCGTATGCTAATGTTGTTTGACGATTCACTTTTATCAGTTGTTCTTGCATCACAGTGCAGTACTAGTAGGTTAAGGCGTTAACACGCATGCAACTGCACTGATGACATCCCCACACCGCACTGATGACATCGACATTCTATCTGTTTGATCAGTCCCGGGTTTGGCCAAATGCACGTTCAGCACTGAGGATTAGATTGGCGCGTGCCGTAGTTTTACTTTGTGCAGGTTTAGCATGGAAATCGCGTTTTCGTCTTACGTTTACTTTATGTAAATTGCATTGGTTTACGCAGTATATCGATGTTAGTAACTGAAGCTCGTGGCATTCGTATTTTAGCTTCAGCATTTCAGCACCCATTCATTCTCTTGACGTTTCGTTCAATTGAATCGGTTCTTTTGAACGAATTGTTCGAACTGGCTCATCAACTGGACATAATCGATTCAAGCGGTTCTTGAATCAACAAATTGATTCATTCAACTGAGAACCTGTTGTTTCGAACATGCCCGACTCGTAATGACAATCGATGATTATGCTGAAAGCATTGAGTGGAACAAGATTTAACTAATGGACTAAAACAATACTTTAATAGCCATATATCAGAAATAAGAACACATTTAATGTACTGTTAAGCACCTTTTTTATTACTTGATTGTGACAGTTTTGTTAACACACATGGTTTGCATGTCAATGACATTTTTGATTACCGGTACGTCGTGATGCAATAGACTCTGGTTAAATAGTTTTTTAATCTTCTTTCTTTTTTTTCTTTATCTTAATTTTTTTGTGAAACTTTACATGAAGATTTGATGTAATTTGCTGTCAAAAATATGTTACCAGTTCAATTGTTTTGTTGTGGAAACGGTGTCACTGTGTTTTTGCTGACAAGTAAAACAGGAAATTTTACATTTGAAGCCTACTAGATCAAATAGTTAAAGGGATAGTTCACCCATAAATGAAAATTATCCCATGATTTACTCAGCCTCAAGGCATCCTAGGTGTACATGACCATTTTCTTTCAGACTAACACAATCGGAGAAACCTCTGGCGTGGGATGTAGGAGTAGCGTAAGCTTAGGTGAGAGTAAACACTCCCCCCCCCCCTCCCCCGGAGCCGTATGGATTACTTTTATGATGGATGGATGTGCTTTTTGGGGCATCAAAATCGTGAGCACCATTCACTCCCATTATAAAGCTTGGAAGAGCCAGGATATTTTTTGATATAACTCCGATTGTGTTCTTCTGAGAGATGATACTCATGTACACCTGATGGCTTGAGGGTGAGTAAATCATTGGATAATTTTCATTTTTGGGTGAACTATCCCTGAACTATCCCTGAACTATGTTCCCCCCCCCCCCTTCTGATAACAGCAGACAAAGGTTAAAGTTGTTAAAGACTGAAAACTGAAGTTGAATTAAACAGTTATCATTTATTTTCCCTATGTTATACTTTTCTGTGACACTATGTTCAGATTAGTGGTGGATCAATATGGGTTTTTCAATTTGAGATTCTTAAATTATTACTTTTGGTCTTTTCCAAACTTGGATATTTGGTTACATCCTTGCATAATGCCGCAGTGCTTTTTTTGTAAGAGTCTGTAGTTACGCCATTGTTACGCTCATCTTGTAGCAGGCGTGTCTAATCAATGTCCTGAAGTGTGACTATACTGTCTGTTATGGATTTCTATGGTATTTTTGAAGGTGGTTTCAAAACTTTTCTTGCACTGAACATTGAATTCGAAGTGAACTAACTGAACTCGCCACTCAAATGCAATATGTACAGGAAAACTTGTGGTCAAGGTTGCCAAAATATATATTTTTAGATATTTCAAATGTCTTTAAATTAGTTGATTTTCATTAGTGCTATCAAGTATGTTTAGAATACATATAGTAACAAGTCTTTAATGTTTTGCATGCTTTTTGTAGAAGCAAGTAGGACTGGGTGATTTATTAAATTTTCACAATATATAATTTTTCATTTTTTTGCTGCATCACCCAACCCTAGTAAGAACAAATGATATTAAAGATTGATTTTGCATGCCTTAAAGCTGCTATGAGCACTCCTTTGACAAAACAGGTCCCATATGTCTGCCATTTAAATGTCTCATCAGACTGATCAAATGCTGGTGAACAGATAAGGCTTTGTGTTTGTGTACAGAAGCCTCTATCTGTGTTGGTACCTTTATTTTACTGGAACAGGAATGGAATGCTACTATGGAAACGATTGTTATTATTATAAATACACTTTTCATTCCTGGGCTTCGACCTGAACTTGTAATATAGGACCCATCCTGGACACTCCTTCAGTTGGTTCAGAGTGTGATGGCAAAAATTCTTCTGAATGACAGCTTGATTGTATTTTGAAACATATTAGAGACTTTAAAGTCATACCTTAACTTACAACGTATGTTGTAGACCAGAATCAGTTAGTTGTAATCAATACGTGCTGTTTGGTAAATAGGGAAAAACCTTGTCTTATTTGTTGTTTCCTTGTGCACGACCCGGATGCCCTTAAGGGCGGTTGAAGCAGAGTGCTGAAATGCCAGATGACTGTCTGTATCTCCTTTCTGACCTTACTTTTCCTCCGCCTCCAGTACAGCCAGTAACTCTCCGCGCAGCACTCCCGGCAGCTCACCCTCCTTGCGCCGTCGTGTTCTGGGAGGCAGAGCCAGCGAAGGGGAGACGGGTGTGGACAGAAGTGTTGGAGGTTCAGACAGTCCCCTGCCTCCTACTCCATCCTCATCAACCTCTTCATACCCGCTCACGGCCCGCCACTTCACTCGCAATGCCAAGGTAAGCCACATTCTCGGCCGGTGAGATTGTTGCTCATCTCTCATGTCTGATATGACGAGCGCTCGCTCTTCCACCCTCATGCTGAGCGCAGTATCATGTCCTGTTTGGAGTGAATAAGGCAGGAAGAATGGTAGTGTTGCAAACAGTCATTTAGAAATTGTTCTTAAAAAATGTTTTTCAAAGAAATTAATTAAACAGATTATAGTTAACGTGCACGTAAAATAACATTCAAACCCATTTTGCTTCTGTAATATGGCTTATTTCTGAGGGAAGCATTAGGCTTGTTACTATCCACTACCAGTCAAAAGTTTGCAATAAAAAAAAAAAATTCATTTATATTTATTTTTGAATGTTTTTGAAAGAAGTCTCTTATCCCCACCAAGGCTGCATAAATGTAATCAAAAATGCAGTAAAAACTAATACTGTTATTATTAATACTATTTAAAATTACTGTGTCAAAAGTAATTCTGATATGTGGATTTAGTGCTCAAGGAGTATTTCTTATTATTGCCTAATTGGCACAATAAGACCAAATCATTTTTAAAGAAAGTAAATAGTGTCCATTTTGATTGTTTTGTTGAGAAAGAGTGTAAATTAAGACCCTCATTCATCGTTTCCTCTCTGTTTCAGAAAATGCAGAGCTGGTATAATGTAAGTATCCTGGGGTCTTCAGAAGTTCATGCCTCAGTGTTTTGTGCTTTAGCTGACCGTGCTGGTTCCCTCCACTCACATCTCACTCTGATATATAGGTGCTCAGCCCCACATACAAACAGAGGAATGAAGACTTTCGTAAACTCTTTAAAAAGCTGCCTGATACAGAACGTCTCATAGTGGGTGAGTTTTACTATTTCATGAGTAAAGCAAGCAGAATGTAATGAGTGATATTAAGTCTAGCACAGTCCTTGGAGTGATTATGTGATTATCACATGGCCTTTGGTTGTGTTTATTTTATTTTTATGTCTAGACTACTCATGCGCACTGCAGAAGGACATACTGCTCCAGGGCCGTCTTTACCTGTCTGAGAACTGGCTCTGCTTCTATAGTAATATCTTCCGATGGGAGACCACGGTAATTCTTACATTACTGAAAACATTAACTAGTGCTCCAACAATGACTCAATAATGAAAATAATCAACAATGAATTTCCTAGTGGATAAACTTCCAAGTATTTCATAAAGAATGCACATGGATGTCAGTCAAATGGGGTGCAAAAAAAAGAAGAAAGATGCATATTTGTTTGTATCAAAACAATATTGTTTAACATCAAATTAAATGAAACTTGAAATCCTATATGCAATGCAATTAGTAATATTTTATATGAACAGTATTGTTTTAAGGGAATTAAACATTAAAGATAAAAATTATAAAAATAAATAAATAGTACTCTTTTACATAAAAATTAATTTGTAAGTAATCATACCTGGTGCCCGTTGTTCGTACATGGATTACCAAGTTATGTGGATTTTACTGTTGATGATTTGACATGAACCGCACATGAATTTGAATTGTGACAGCTATTATGCGGGTGGCTTGTTGCTGTGCAGGAGATGCAGAGAACCTTTTAAAAAATATATATTTTAGATTAGAAATATGTTCCTGACCTTTGAGAAACTTTATGCCTTTAAGAGACTTGAATTGTTGATTACAATATGCTACTCTTGACACTGAAAAAAACGTGTAAAGCCTGTGCAAATACTAGAAACCGTGAAATTTTTTTATAATTGGGAATCGTGTAACAAACATTTACACATTTCATTTATCTATTAGAACTTTTGGCATTTTGCCTGTTTGGCTGTTTCCTCTTTTAATTATATGGTGTTATTCCGTTGCTATCTTGATGCGATCCAATCGCTGCATTGCTGATCATGGTTTCAGGTATCGAAAGATATCTGCTATATATAAATATATATAAATACATTTTTGCACTGTTAAAAAGTTTGGGGTCTGTAAAATTTTTGCATGTTTTTGAAAGAAGTCTCTTATGCTCACCAAGGCTGCTTTGACTTGATTAAAAAATATGGTAAAAATGTTAATATTTTGAAATATTATTACTGTTCAAAAAAACTTTTTTTTTATTTTACATATTTTTATTTTTATTTTTTATTTTTATATATTTTATAATGTAATTTATTCCTGTGATGCAAAGCTGAATTTTCAGCATCATTACTCCAGCCTTTAGTGTCACATGATCCTGATTTGATGCTCAAAAAACATTTCTTTTTAATTTTGAAAACACTTGTGCTGTTTAATATTTTGGTGTAAACCCTGATAAAAAAAAGTTATGTATAAATTTCTTAAATATAAATGTCTTTACTGTCACTTTTGATCAATTTAATGCATCCTTGCTGAATAAATTAATTGAATTAATTGTATTAATTGAAATTTGAGCTGTAGAGTATATACAGAAATTTGCATATTTTGAATATCTGATTAATAAAAAAATAATCAACATATTAATCGATTTTAAAAATTATTATTTGTGGAACAAACCAAATAATTGGTTTTGGACAATTAGCTCAGGCAAACCGTATTTGTAAATCGTATTTGTGATCCCTCTTTGTATCACCAGATAACCATACTGCTGAAAGATGTGACCAGTCTGACCAAGGAGAAGACAGCCAAGCTCATCCCTAACGCCGTCCAGATTAGCACTGAACACGAGAAGGTACCGTGCTGCAGACATCGGATATGCATGCTAAAATTACCATTAAAGGATTTCTTTTGTTAGCTCCATTTTGAAACTCCCAAGCCAATAAATAATCTGCCTTTGATTAAAATTCCGATCTTACATTTGTCAGCACTTCTTCACATCATTTGGGGCAAGGGATCGCAGCTACATGATGATCTTCAGACTTTGGCAGAATGCACTGATGGATAAGGTAAGAATTGCACTAGTGCACATTTTATTTGTGTATAAGACATGGCCATAACACACAAATCTCCTGTCAGAATGTGCGCTGTGTATTTGTCAGTGTAGACAATTTCATATGGCAGGCGACCAACATCGCTTGGCCATCGGCCATAATAATTAACATTTGGCAAGATGCAGGTGGTGACTGTACAGATGCATTGCAATCTTCAGCAAGCTTGTCTGTTAGAATTGAACAATAATAAAAAGATACTGCAGCTTATTGTTTCAACTAACAGTTCATCAACTGCTGCATTTGCTGAAATGTTTTCCTCTGCTGTAAGTTTTAGTTAAAAACTATAGTAAAAATATCTGCCAAATGTAAAAATAACTCAAAAGTCTTTAACAGTACTTTATTATTTTTAGATCATATGCATCGTTCCAAACTAGTAGGCATCACAAAATTGCATTTATTTTACGTGAGTAAATCACTTTCAGAATGCATTGCAACCAATGGAGTCAATGGAAATGTTGCTTATAAATATACTTTTGTAAAATAAATAAAGTAGTTAAATAATATCTGTAATTAAAAAATGTTATTAAAATATAATCAAGATGAAAATAGTTAATGAAATATACTATTTCACACAGTTTTTGTAATGCATTCTTTGTCCTTATTACACTGTTTGCTAAAAGCAATAGCAGGCTGATTCATGTCATCAAATGGCGCTTTAAACTCTTAAATCAGTCATTACAATTTTTAGCCTGGAAGACTCCATACCGAGCTTCTACTTGAAGTACTGATATTATATTTCTCATCCACAGACTCTGTCACCTAAGGAGTTATGGCACATCGTTCACCAGTGTTACGGCACTGAGCTGGGGCTCACTAGTGAAGATGATGATTATGTCTCCCCTACTGCTGAACATATGAACGGCCTGCTGTGAGTCCACACTGAGAGGAATCTGTTTGTGAAATTTTATTTATGAAATTTACCTGATAAACACGAGGACAGACAGAAGGTCACTGTGTACCTTTATCTTTATTTTATTTTTAGGTTTTGGTTCAAAAAGGCCACAATTATATACGACTAGAATTTAAATACATTTTATTTATTATAATGTACTTATCTAGATAGATAGGTAGTATAGTAGACTATCTATCTTCACCACATACATATACATCCACTGCATATTTGTATGAATTATTTAATTTTTTTGTTCAAATAGGCTGTATTCTATACATTACTTGAATTATATACAGTTTCAATCGAAATTATTCAACCCCCATTGCAAATCAGGTTTATTGGCTAAATTTACAGACTTTCAGCTGTTTACAATGAAAAAATCAAACAAAAGTTGAAATAGCACAACACAACAAATGTTTCAAGTGGTTTCCCCAAATTAAATTGAAAATGCAACTTTTAATGACTTCTGCAGTCACAAAATTATTTAACCCCTTCATGGCAAGCATCTTTAGTACTGAGTAGAACATCATTTTGCTGTTTTGACCTGCTGCAAACGAGACACCATCTTCTGGCAGCTTTCTGAGGAATCCTCATAAGCAATGGCCTCCAGTTCAGTAATATTCTAGGTTTTGCAAGCTGCAACCGCTGCCTTCAAATCCCTCCAGAAATTTTCTATGGGGTTCAAGTCAGGTGACGATGATGGCCACTGTAGAATCTTCCAGGACTTCTTCTGCAACCAAGCCTTGGTGGAATTTGAGAATTTGCTTGTGATCATTGTCCTGTTGGAAGGTCCAATGACTCCCAAGCTTCAGCTTCCTCACTGACGACATGACGTTTTCTCCTAGGATTTCTTGATACTTCAATAAATCCATCTTGCCTTCCACACGCTGCAGGTTTCCAGTGCCAGAGGATGCAAAGCAGCCGCAGAGCATCACCAAGCCCCCACCACGCTGAACTGTAGACAGAGGGTTTCTTTTCAGCATATACTTCATTCTTCCTCCTCCAGACATACCGCTGATCCATAGGGCCGAAAAGTTCCAGTTTTGTTTCATCACTCCACAGAACAGAATCCCAAATTTGCTGTGGCTTATTTATGTGATTTTGAGCAAATTGGAGCCGACCTTTCTTGTGCTTTTGGGTCAGTAGTTGTGTACGTTTTGGAGTTCTGTCATGCGTTTATTACGTGCCTTACTGTGAAAGCTGAAATCTCAGTGCCTGTTGCCATCAAGTCTTGCTGCAGGTCTTCTCCAGTCACTCAAGGGTTTTTCTGAACCTGCCTTCTCAGAAATCTGGTTGCAGCCGTTGATAGCTGCCTTTTTCTGCCCCATCCAGGTAGTGTAACCACTGTTCCTTTAACTTTGAACTTGCGAACTATGCTTCCAATGGTGACTCTAGGAACATTTAGTGCCTTCGCTATCTTTTTATATCCTGTTTCTTGTTTGTGAAGGGCAATGATACCTTCTTTTAACCTTTTGGACCATTCTTTTGACAAACGTGACACTCAATAAAACTAGCCAGTTCAGATATTTCATGTGTGCTAGCTTAAGCACTCCTGGTGCAACTAATGAAGCCCTTGATTAGTGGCATCAGGTGTGCTTGACCTTTTTGCAGATTTTTGTTGTGAGGGATTCTATTCAGGGGGTTGAATAATTTTGAAACTGTAGAAGTCATTAAAAATTGTATTTTCAGTTGAATTTGGGGAAACCATTTGCAACATTTGTTGTGTTGTGCTATTTCAATGACTTTTGTTTGATTTGTTCATTGCAAACTGAAAGTCTGAACATTATGCTAATAAACCTGATTTGCAATGGGGGTTGAATAATTTCGATTGCAACTGTATATGTAGACATTTTTGCAGCTTGGCTTCAATAAATAATCAGGGTGTTCTGTACATTAGACTGTCTAGTAGCAGAAAATGTCCCCTTTAACAAGCCTGACACTTGCATCTGACTGTCTCTGTGCTGTAGGCCAGGTGAGGAGCCGGTCTCCGTCACTGACCTGCTGGATCTGGGATCAGTGCCGGTGCCTCTGGTGGGCTCCTCTCCACCCTCGTCTGCCTCAATTCTTCCCTGTGCTTCAGGATCTTCACCTCCATCCTCCTCTTCCTCTTCCTGCCAGCCTGTGGAGGTGCCATCTAATCGGGCCACCGTCGAGCCTGAGCCCAGTCCAACCGGCTCCCAGAGCTCACTAGCCCCAGCCGCAAACACTGGAACTGCCCTGTCCTCAACCGTAAGTGTCAAGCTACTGTGAAATACCAGCCAGCTTGGTTATGCTCAAATAACATTACAATGGAAGATTTATACACAAAAGGTTGCAAAAATCCATTGATGCACTGTGATCCATAAATATTTTAGAAATATGCTGCTTGTGTGCATAGTATTCTACTTAGTTTGTGGGTGAATCATTGAGTGTCATTTCTTTTCTATTTCTGTCTTAATGAGTGCGTTTACATGCACGTTCTTAAACCGATTATGCTTAATAAGCTGATAACGCGTGTGGTCATGTTAACGCATTTAACCTTTTTCCTTTATCGGCATAAGGTCATAAACGGCTTAATAATAAACCAATCGACAGAGCTAGATTTTTTCCCCTTACTCTGATTTCGCCGGCATTTAAACAGCTTAACCTTCGTTCTGTCGGCTTATTTAAGTGTGCATGTGTGATATGTGACAGGAAAGCGTCCTTATACAGCAGATTTAAGGGCATTCTGCCACAGCAATGTTTCGCAGTAGGGGAGAAGAAATATATCAACTTTTTCTTGACTCAAGAAATGTAAAAAATGCGTTTTCATCTAGTGCAGCCAAAGGACAAGTGGTAAGGTCTAGAAACGTCCAATATGAGAGGAGAGCGAGTCTCTGCAAGTTTCCTGCTGATATTTTAAAATACTCTTGGCGTTTTAATGCTTTATTTAAAATAACAACTCACATAAATATAGAATACTCTTGAGTGAAATACATGAATGCTTGCGTTTCTTTTGACGTTACCACCAGGAAATAATAACTTGTTTTTTTAACGCAGTCTTGTAAAAGCGGTTTAATTGCATTGCCAGGTTGTTGATTTGACATGTAAACCGGTACATCTGGTTATTTCAATAAACTGATTTTTGGTAGTTATCAGCATATTGGTGTGCATGTAAACGTGCTTAAGGATTCATTAGTAAATCTGTTTGACTTTTAATTATTAAAAAAATCACAAGTTAATGAAAAGTCATAGAAATTTATAATCATAATAGAACTGAATCATTATCAGAAAAAAATATTTACACCCATGATCATTTAATTCAGGCTTTTACAGTTTTTAAACAACGTCATGTAGATGTTTCATTGTGAAGTATTGCCTATACTTCTATGACTTTATTTTAGTATTCTAATCTTTATATATACTTTTTATATAGCATTTATTAATATTTACTATTTTCATTTTAATTTTTGTTTAAGTTTTCGTTGTTTAAAAATGTCTATTTAGTAGGGGTGTAACAATACATTGATATGGATAGATCAAATGACTAATGATACAATGTATCAATGTGTAAAGAAGTTATTCATATATATTTATAATTAATAATTATTAATAATAATAATGATATATATATATATATATATAGGTATACTTTTTTATTTTTTTATTTTTATTTCAATTAATAAACTTTTTTTTAGTGGATTTAGTTTTAACAATAACAACACTTGTTTGAGAGTGTTTCTTTATTCTCTTCCTCTCTCTTCTTTTTATAGATCTTGGAAGAAGGTGGGGACAGCCAGTCAGAATCAGCCAATCAGTCACTTCAGTCCCCTCTCACTGTCCCACACAGCCTGGGAAACCTCTCCTCATTGGATATGACCAATGATGAGGATCTCCCAACTGACCCCAGCAATTCCTCTGACACTCAGGAAGAGAGTGAGTGAGAGAATTGACCTCAGATTAGACCATTCTCTGTACAGAGTAGATGCATATGTGTTAAGTAGATATGTCCTTGAAAGTCAGACTGATTCATTTGAACACTTTTACTCTCCACAGGTGAGGTGGAGTCTTTCTGTCCAGACCTCAACGGCCGACTGCATATCAACACGGTTGTTCGCATGAGCGTGGACAAGCTCTACGACCTTCTGTTCTCGGACACTCACTTCATACAGCACCTCTTCTCACAACGTCACTTCACTGGTCAGTTTACACTTTTTTTGTAGCTGAGTTTTCCATTCTTGCTACTTCTATATACCTTTTTTTCCAAATTGAATCACTACAGTACAATATTTAATTTAAAATACAAAAATGGTGTAAAAAGACTAGGAATAAATCTAAATTATAAAGTATAATTAATAAATATAGAAAAATGTAAATATGAATGATATTAATTGTATTAAAATATTTTGAATCATATAATCAAAATAGTTTGTTTTATTGTGTCTTTAATATGTTTCCTGATCAGAAAACATTTCTGCTACCTTTTATGCTTTTACATCCCATATTATTCTAACATTAAAAGGGTAGCTAGCTGGATAAGCTATTCTGTTTTTACCGACGTTCCCATTATTATGGTTACAGCAACTTCTCTGATTGGCGGGTCTCTCATCGGAAGTTCAGCAATTAAAGGTAGGGTAGGTAGTTTACGGAGAGGCTACCAATAGCGAGCTAGCTTTGAAAGCATGAGATGCCACGCCTCCAAAACACATGAACCCATACAGCAGGGAGCCAACAAAAGCATCACGAGAGACAGTGTTAATCTACCTCATTTGTCAAAGCAGACAACATTACAATAATAATAAAAAACATAAACAACTTAAAGAGCACTGACCTGTACCACCTGACTGCTGGAGATTCATTTAGGCATTGATAGTGTTGCCAGTGAAATGCATAAACGTCACGAGTTTCCATCTCTTTCAAAATACAGTAGTTATGGCGTGAAAGCAGCATAAGTTCATTGTTTTGGTTCAGGAGGAACTGTAATAGGCGGTGACTGACATCTGTCTAACTCTGCATAGCATTCAGACCAAATGCAATGATTGGGCGAACATTTTATGGTCCTACGCCTTCCACAGACGTTATATATACATATAAAGACGTTTAGACCACTTAACGTAGTGATTGCTATCAGGATGGGAAGAGACTTTCAACCAGCATGACAAAAAAATGTTTCTGGAACAAATTGCCTATCCTGCCTTTAAGCAAATTAAAAGTAAAATTCACACTTATGGATCCTGCATAAGCATATATTATTGTTATACAACCTTGTCTTTAAAAGTTTCTAACATGACACAGTGTCCTAAAACATCATGCATATTTAATTCCAAAGCATATCATGTTTAATTAATTAGTTTGTAGATTTGTAGAAGAACCCGGAAGTCTAATTGTAACTGGTTGTGTAAAATAGGCACATAATATCATAATATCGAAAAGTATAGCCAAAACTAAATAAATGAAATGAACCAAAAGTATAGTCAAGTTATGTTTGCCACAGGCTTTATTTTACACACAAATCGAAAAACCCCATTATTAAACCCCATAGGAAAATCTCAAAGGAATCAGCGGTGAATTAGACCTCCGGGTTCTGACTTCATACCTGCAGCATTCTATTGATTTCCCTGTGAAGATTCTGAATGCCATTTTTTTTTCTCTTCCAGAACCCTACTGTAGTACTCAGTTGCCCTTTAGCATACTTATTGAAATACTGCCCCATATTGCATTGGCGCTCCTCCTAGCATTTGATCTTTGACTGTGTTAACTATTCTATGCATGGCCGATTTGTTATTGCCTTTTCCTGCAGTTTTCAGATTCCACGTGTCCTCATTCCCCCCTCCCTTTTTCTCTTTTCATGCTGTTTGTCCTATTGGGGCCTTTGGAGCAGATAATGAGAACTCACTATTTGGGCTCACTATGTTCTATAGCATAAAGTACCATGGTCTCATTCTTTTTTTCTCTCTTGGTAACTTTATTTACTTTGTACAGCAAATAATGTCAAAAATATTCATGATAGATCAAGAGATGATAGCGTCCGCACCACAGTGTGAGAATTTTTTTTTTTTCATGCTGAGCTCTTTGTCTATGTTGTCTGCATGGATAATTGCCCCCTTCTCTGTGCCCCTGCAAGTGCTCTGACTGTAATCACACATCATTCTTCCTCCCTCTTCTCTAACTGTTCTTTTCTGCTCTCTCTCTCGTGTGATTGGTTCAGATCTCTCTGTGCACGAGTGGCAGCAGGACAGCAGCAGTGGGAACAGCAGTAGAGTTCTGAGTTACACCATCGCCATCAACAACCCGTTGGGCCCAAAAACCGCTCCTGTGGTGGAAACACAGGTGGGTCCACACAGCTCTTTTTCTTTGTTTTTATCTCAGCTGTTCTTCAGTCTCCCTCGTTTTTATTAAAGGGGCAGTTCTCCCAAAAAATGAAAAGCTTGTCATCATTTGCTCACCCCCATGTTGCTCCAAACCTTGTATGTATTTCTTTTTGCCAAACAAAAAAGAAGCTATTTAGACTTTTTGTACAATGAATGTCAGCTGGGTCCAATATTGTTTTGGACCCCATTGTATGAACAAAAACAGTTATTTTGTGTTCCACTATTGAAAGAAAGTCATGCAGGTTTGAAACTATGTGAGGGTGAGTAAATGATGACATCATTTTTAGGTGAAAACTTTCTTTACATTCCTTTACATTTGAAAGAACATAGCCACAAAAATGCATACAACCCTGAAACTAACCCTGAAATTTGATGTAATAGAGTATTATTATTTTATATCCTAGACTATAATGAACACAATTTTTGCAGGTTAAATACAAGTTAAGCTCTACTGACATCACAAAAATATTTCTGACTTTTGACAAAAAAATTTTTTTATAGAGATGCAGTTACAATAGAAGTCTAGGCACTAAGGCATTGCACTAAAATAAGTATTAAAATGCACACTTATATCTGCAATATTTAAACATTATGGTCTGGTTTTACAGACAGGACTTAAATTAAGCCAGGGTTAGGCCTTAGTTCAAGGACATTTATTAATATGCCTTAAAAAATGCATCTTGAGACAAAACAATGGCACTGACATGTTTTAAGATATGTCAGTGCAAGTTACTTTCAGTTAAAACAGTTGAAACATGTATTTTAGTCTGAGACTAGGCTTAAGCCTTGTCTGTGAAACCCGGGGTAAGTATGTTAACATCAGACTAAAATTGCTTTCTAAACTTGTGCAGTTATATTTCATATTCAAATCTTGTCATGACCATGTAAACCTGATAACTCGTGATATGCGCAAAGATACCAGAAACAGATTAAACATTAATATTTTGTAAAGAAACACAGGTTTGCTGTGCTTGTTTGTGGTTCTGCAGAATTAGTTAAAAAAAAAAGTGATTATATATCAAAATTACTATAAATAATCATGATAAAAATAATAATAATTTTACTATTGTAATAATACTATATCACTGTAAATTTCTTTATTTTCAAACATTAAACCATCAAGTTTTTTATTTTGGTGGAAAATCCCAGAAAGAGCCCCTTTTTTATATTTAAATCACAGCATTTGTGATTTGATAATCGCTCTAAGCCATATCTCGGTTGCGCTTTTATTTCAATGAATTGTTCAGCCCTAGTTAATATTAGTTAATACTGTGCCCTATTCACATGGTTTACTTATAACTAGAAGTTCATCTACCTAGAACCTTAAAGCCACCACTAAAACGATTATCCACCTTTTCAGCTCATGCACACATAAACAAACATAAATGCTTAAGAAAAAAACAAGCTTCATATTGCTGCTTTTTAATATTCCCAAATGTTAAAGACTTCCCTTGAAAGTGCATTAATGTAAACACAGTTTTTGTTTTTACGAATTGAGGGACATTTCCTTTCCTTTAATGATGGGTTTAAGCAGATGGTAATGTCAGTTTGGTGTATTTTGTCATGTTGCGCAGACTCTCCACAAGAGCAGCTCCCGGGGGGAGTGTCATGTGGTGGACTCAGAGGTCATAACCTCAGGCATCCCCTACCAGGACTACTTCTACACTGTACACAGATACTGCCTCACCTCTGTCAACAAGCACAAGAGCCGCCTCAGGTAGAACTTCCTGGCCATTGTAATGCACGTATTGTTATGCTTCAAATGCAAACACCGCTGATGGACCCATTGTGTGTGTGTCTGCAGGGTCTCGTCTAATATCTGCTACAGGAAGCAACCGTGGAGTCTTGTGAAAGCTCTGATAGAGAAGAACACTTGGAGCGGCATTGAAGAGTATTACAGACACATGGGTAAGCAGGTTCTCATCTCAGTGTAAACCTTCAATGCGGCATTGGTGCTAAACATTATCCCCTGCATTCATTGTCAGAGACAGAGGTGTGTAAGTTGGAGACGCTGTTACAGTCGGAGGTTTCCGTGGTGAGCTCTGGGGAAGTGCCTTCCGCGGACTCTGCCAAGACGCCCCCCGGCCTGCGCAGACGCAAACGCAATTGTCCGAGACGAGCAGGAGAGCGGGAGAGAGAAAGGGAGGGAGCGGGAGGAGGCGGGGAGCGGGGCGACCGAGGAATTGGAGATGATCGCGAAAGGAGAGAAGCTGGTGAGTCAGTCGACAGAGGAGCATGAGCTGAATTTCATCGAGTCTGGTCATGTGAAACGCATTGACATCTAGTGGTGGAATGTGGAATTGGTTTTACTGGATTTACTGTAATTTTTCTATATTTTATCCTGATTTCCATTGTTTCCAACCTCAGAAGTATGACTGAGAAAAAATATAATCCCAATAATAAAAATAGATATTTTCCATCAAAATAACAGCTCTCTGGTTTAATGATTGAAAGTACGAAAAAATTAAGACAGCCATACTGTTATGTAAAATAAATGATAATAATATTATTAATATTAAATACTATTTTTTACAGTACAATACTATCTTTGTTGATTTTTTTTAAATGTCATTTTAAAATGTACTTAAAAAAACGAATATTTTAAATAATAATAATTAATAATTCAAGTTATTTTTTTAATGAAGACAGCATAATATTAATATATTAATTTTACTGTTGCTCTTTAAAACAATTTGTTCATTATTATTATTAAATACAGTACATCACTATTAATATTGCTAGCAATATGTCTGTATCGATTTGTTTAATAATGATGTAATTGTAATTTAATGAAATAAAACTAATATTTTGAATAACAATATTGAAATATTTTAGAACAGTATAAGATTAACATATCTGTTTGTGCTTTTACTGGAATAAACAAGGATGTGAGTTTTCCGTATTTTCCAACCTGAATGAACCACATGAAGTGTGTAAATCCGAAATAAAATAATCTGAATAAAAAAAATATAAACTTAATATTATAAATAAATATTTTCCTCTACAATTACAGCTCTAATTATATCATTTAATAAAATATATAAATAATAATTTTAATAATAAAAATGAAGAATTGAGGTTTTCCTTCTTTGTTGTAGCTGATCACATGCCTGCTTAATGAGTTCTTTTGCTGTTGTCCAGGTGCTCAATATGTGAAATTGGGAGAGAGGTGGCGAGGCAACAACAGCAGCATCTCCACCATTCTGCTCATTGTGAGCTTCATGTGAGTGTTTTTATCTTTGGCATTCTGTAAAGATCATTGCCTCTGTGTGCATTTGTGTAATGTCAGCGTTAATGTGAGCTGCTGATGTCATCGAACTCCCTTTAGATGAGCAAAATTCAATCTGAGCTCATCAGGTTGTCATCACTGCAGTGACGGCGTCTGTTCTGGTCATGAGGACTTTAAGCTCAGCTCTGATTTCTGAAGATTTTAATGTACCATATTAACTAACACGGTGGACAACACGTTTTGGTGATGTTTATTTTTAGGACAATGAAAGATCTGTCATCTTTTACTCATTCTCATGAACACATTTTCTTCGTTGTAACACAAAATGACATTTTTTGCATTTTTCCATACAATTCAAGCGGATAAGGGTCTGGGACTTTAAAGCTCATTATTCAGTAAATATTAACTTAAATGAGTATATTTTTCACAGAAAGCTATCATACGGCTTTGGAAAAAGTTTGAACATAGCATACAAGTCACTTTAATGGTCATTTTTAGTGCTTAACAGCTCCGGTCCCCATCCACTTTCATTGTATAAAAAGAGCAGCCTGGACATGCTGCTAAATATTTCCTTTGCGTTCCACTAAAGAAAAAAATGAATGTGAGTATATGGTATTAGAAATAATATTTGAGTTAACTATCCCTATTAACACACTTTTCTGTGCATAGTAATATTACACCCCGTTTATAATAACACCAACATCACAACCTAAGGAGTGTCTCTCTCTCTCTCTCTCTCTCTCTCTCTCTCTCTCTCTCTCTCTCTCTCTCTCTCTCTCTCCCTCTCTCTCTCTCTCTCTCTCTCTCTCTCTCTCTCTCTCTCTCTCTCTCTCTCTCTCTCTCTCTCTCTCTCTCTCTCTCTCTCTCTCTCTCTCTCTCTCTCTCTCTCTCTGTCTCTGTCTCTTTCCATTTCTGTTCCTCCCTTCTTTTGCATACTAATATCTCTTTGCTGTTCTTGTCTTTCTCGTCTCGCTTTCCTCGCTTCCTCCTGCGTATAGGATCTGTGTCAGGTAGAGCCTCTGTCTTTGTGCTTCAAGGAAAACACACATATTTTTCATGACACAAAATGAGTACAGACGACTATATTTCAATCTCTTCTGTGTTCCTCCAGTCTGGTGGTTCTGGTGGCTCTGAACATGATGCTGTTCTACAAACTCTGGGCGCTCGAGCGGGCTGCACACACGCTCGAGACCTGGCACTCGTACTCTTTAACTGACAGGTATATTTAAACTAACCGAGTGACTTACACACATAGCGCTTCTTGGCATGCTGATTCGGGAATCTCTCTGTCCGCAGCCCTCTGCCCCAGTCAGCAGGAGAGTGGGCGCAGGTACTGCAGCTCCAGAGGCAGTTCCACCAGGCCCAGTTGAACAAATGGCAGCAGATTTTACAGTCTTCTGTCACACTTCTGGATCAGGTGTGTTCCTGAGCTAAACTTAAACTTAAGATGTTCAGCTCTTCATCAGGCATTCGAAATGTTGTGTTTTCTGAAAAAAGAAATTAGTATTAATAACATCAGAGTGTGAACATTTTTGTCTTTCATCTATACCAGTGATTCTCAACCGCAGGTCCGGGGCCCACTTTCTATTTGTGATTTCCACCCCTGGAAAAAACATGGAAATTAATAAAATATTAAATTGTAATTTTTTCTAATAATGTCAAGCTCAAAACTATTTTATTAAGTCCAAATTATGAGCAAAAATATATATATATACAATGTAAAATCATTAGTGAAAGTGTAAACTCAGAACATTCAGTTATTGAAACTTATGGAATTTAATTATTTATAATTATTGTAATAAATTATTTTAATAAAATACTATTACTATAAATTATATATATATATATAAATTAAATTCCATAAGTTTCAATAACTGAATGTTCTGAGTCTATATATATATATATATATATATATATATACTGTATATGTGTGTGTGGGAAATTATAATATTTAAAAAATTTCCACTCCTAGTTTCTGTAAATGAAACATGCTTTAATGAAAAAGCTGCTCATTTTCCAGAAATGGTGCCCTTCGAATATTGTCTTTGACAATAGCTTCCATCCATTTATTTTTATGCGCATTTTGGGATATCTCGTAAAAGACACTGGATGGAAATTCCAAGATGCGTATAAATTCTAAAAATGCACTCAAAAAACATGCATTCAAATGAGGCGGATACATTTTTTTTATCCGATAAGAGGACATGCGCAAAAACTACAATGGAGACGCATTTACCGAATAAATCCCTCGATGGGGAATTTCAGAATCTCATGTATATCCCTCTTAGAATATTTTGCTTATTGTCTTTATACTTGTGAATGTTCTGTTCTTTAGTGTGAAAAAGCTGGAGAAAGATCCATTGAAAGGTTATATAAAACAAACTTTAGTTCCTGCTGAAAAGAATTATGTAAACCAGTCAAAGCTGCCATGTCTCTCTGAAGTGCCCAAAACCCCTTTAAAAAAAGCAGATCTGCATGATCCGGTGTAACCGGTCCTATTCGACCCGCTTCGAGTGGGATTCTGCTGCTAGCGTGCCTCTTGAGGTTATTAGGCTTTCTTTATGATTAATAAAGAACAAATAAGACAAGGGGCATTTATTATGAAAGTAAAAAGGGTTGATTTTGATTTCTAATGGTTTCCCCCTCTCTAATGTAGATGAAACAGTCTCTGGAGAAGCTCCACGGGGGAATGATCACGCCAGAGGTGCAGCAGGAGTCTGATCCAGCACCAGACACACTGACGGATCAGTGAAGAGCATACGGTAACCCCTTCACACCACCGTTTACTGACTCTGGGCCCTGTGACATAAATCATGGACAGGAGACGGTGCTCTACTCAGTGACATCAACGTTGGGATTGATATGGGTAGCTTTTAGGTTACCCAAGTGCCCCAGCAGCAGCTAGAGGACTACAAACTAACTCAACTCTTCTATCAATCTGATTCTGAACACCACGAACTCTGGGACCGAAGCAATAACACACACGTACGGGAGCGTCTGTGACTTTCAGCTGTGCTGCATCTTGAGCCGTTCTGGTCCGTACTGAGTGTCTGAGGAAGCTCAATGTGAGCTTGTAGAAAACAATTCATCTTGGACCTTTTATTTTTAAAAAGCTTTTTTGAGAGATGCTTTTGAGATTTCAAAGAGGGAAGTGTCTTTCTCTTCTTGAGGAGGTTTGAAATCAACCTCCAGTCTGCTCCGAGAGACCTCTCAACTTGTCTTTTCACAACAAACGTATTTTTGTGTTTTCATGGAAGAGAAATTTCATTTTCTCTTCTGTTTTGTTATTGGTTTGATGATTTCAGAGGTGTTACTGAAACTTGTTGAAAGTGTGTCAGACCATTACAGTATTTATTTAATAGACTTGAATTACAGTCTAACATCATTGTGTTTCTGCTCAAACGAGGACCAATGTAGAAATGGGTGGAACGAGTGGTATAAATATGAATTTCCATTTTTAGCAATAATCACGTGGAAAAATCGTAATGACAATTAGAAGTTAACGTACAAGTAAAATGTGCAGCTGTTAAGATAGAGTATCAGAGTGACGATTGTTTTTACACACTGTTACAATTTTAACCATTGCTTCTTTCTCCCTAATGTTTCAGTTATTATTTTTGTTTTAAATCCCTTTGTATTTATAACTTAGGGGTGAGAGGAGCTGTTTCATGTAGTCGAGGTGTCGGGAAACTTGTAGAGTTTCACTGGAATCAAACTTGAACTGTTCAGAGTTACTTTTAGCTCGAGCAGCTGAACACACACACACACACACAGATTGGAGGACTTCAGTCGTTCCTGGGACAGGACGTTTAGGACCAAGCAGAACTCAAGGTCAGGAGGAGTATGTGATGTACATTTCACTCAGTACTGTGGGCGAATCTCACATAGAACATGTCCATGTGTTTCACCTCAAAATCAAAAGAAAAAATTAAGCATATATATATATATATATATATATATATATATACAGGTATATTTGCATTGTTACAATTTCCTGACAATTAAGCACCCCTCAATTACTGTGAAATGAAAATCATCCTGTCCAGACTATTTTTATTTTCATTTTTAATCAATTTTTATTTGATGAAAATAAGCATTATTTAAAAGCAGTAAAACAAATACTGTCAAGTGGTATAAATGACAATAATATATAAATATATTAATAATTTTAGGTAATTGGACATTATGAAAATATTGTCACAATGCAAAATATTTATTTTTTTCTATTGATTTTAATTTGAAATTCTTGACAGGCTTGGCGAGATTCACCTATGAGTTGATTTTTCTTTTCTTTTCCTCTCTCTGTTTTATGCTTGATTATTTCATTTGGACGGTCTGTTACTGATGATTTTTTGTCCTGCCCTCCAGCCTCAGTGATCTCTCCCTCCTCTGAGTGTGTTATCAGAGTGTCTGTCTGTATGTCTGTCTGCGGGCGCTGCTGTGCAAAGCCCTTGCTGAGTGATGAAAGCATGTGCTATTTATTCGGGTCAGGGAGGGAGAGAGCGAAGGTGGGATGTATTGTATAGACACGATTGTAAAGGTGACTTGTGACAGTCAGAAATGCATAATAAAAATGCCAAAAAAAGTGAAAGTTTGTGTGTATTACTAATTGGAATATAATTTTCTTTTACCTGTGTGTATATACACATACACGCACACACTCACGTAAATGCGTCTCTATAGCACGCATAGTGTATTATCGTGCAATCTATACGCGAAAATGAGTTTTTACACTGCGGTCAAGTGGGCCGCGCGTTGAAAATACACGGTCAAGCCAGCCGCACATTTTTTTTTAGTATCCGCGTCTAATCGTGTACTTACGGTATGGGTGCTGGAAGCGGTCAAAATTGTTTTTAAGACTCTATTTTCCGCTATTTTACATTTTATTAGGACACAAATAATACATTTACATGATTTTTTTTAAAAAGCATGACTGTTTTATTATTATTATAAAGTGTGTAGGCCTATGAGTTACATTAATTATTACATAATATATTCATGTTCATAGTAATATCAATTAACATGAATCATTTTTACATTTTATTGTTAATTTTAATGTTTTTTTAGACACTATTTTCTGCTATTTTCCATCTCATTAGGACACAAATAATACAGTTTTATGATTTAAAAAAACATTACTTTTTTATTATTATTTTAATGTTTGTAGCCCTATATGTGATTCATTAATTATTACACAACTTATTCATTTTCATATTAATGCTAATTATCATACATCATTTTTTTTTTTACATTTTTATTGTTAATTTGAATGTTTATATATATATATATATATATATATATATATATATATATATATATAAAATACTATTGTACTTTATTAACTTTAATGAAATGTAATATTAATGTTAATTATCATACATTTATATTGCATTTTTATTGTTGATTTTAATGTTTTTATATAAAGTATACATTAATTATTATACATAATGTATTAATGTTTATTTATTTATTTTCTTACATTTTTTTATGTTAATGTTAATGGCAAATATTTGGCAAATAAGTGGCAAATGAATACAACAGGCTTTTGGTGGCTTTTAATCTGTCAATTATAATTGAATTGCATATATAAGCTATAAACACCTTTATACAATCTATGAAATATACATTCATACCTGAAGTATGAAATATGATACTCAAAACACACACACACACACACACACGCACACACAAACACACACATATACATTTTATATATAATGGGAGTTTTGCCATTTTACTTCAACTTCTAGCACTTACACCATGTCCCAAAGCTCAAAACTTAAATAAAAAGCTCATTCTTTCTTGATTCCTGTTCAGAGTAACCCTGGCTATTACTGTATTTATTTTCAAGTCATGTTACTGTATAGTTTTGGAGAAAAGTAAAGGCAAACTCAACCCCATCCATCAAAGTGCATTATAGCACTTTACACCATGTCATATATTCCAACACTCATAAACAGTGTTCCTTCATAGGTTTGCCCATTCTTTCATTTGATTCCTGTTCAGAGTGACCCTGACTATTACTGTATTTATTATCAAGTAATTTTACTGTATAGTTTTGGAGAAAAGTAAAGGCAAACTCGCCCCAATCATCAAACTGCATTGTAGCACTTACACCATGTCCCATGTTCAAACACTCATAAAAAGTGTTCCTTCATAGGTTTGCTCATTTGTTCATTGGATTCCTGTTCAAAGTGACCCTGACTATTACTGAAATTATTTTCAGGTAATTTTACTGTATAGTTTTGGAGAAGAGTAAAGGCAAACTCACCCCAATCATCAAACTGCATTGTAGCACTTACACCATGTCCCATGTTCAAACACTCATAAAAAGTGTTCCTTCATAGGTTTGCTCATTCATTCATTTGATTCCTGTTCAGAGTGACTCTGACTATTACTGTAATTATTTTCAGGTAATTTTACTGTATAGTTTTGGAGAAAAGTAAAGGCAAACTCACCCCAATCATCAAACTGCATTGTAGCACTTACACCATGTCCCATGTTCAAACACTCATAAAAAGTGTTCCTTCATAGGTTTGCTCATTTGTTCATTGGATTCCTGTTCAGAGTGACCCTGACTATTACTGTAATTATTTTCAGGTAATTTTACTGTATGGTTTTGGAGAAGAGTAAAGGCAAACTCACCCCAATCATCAAACTACATTATAGCACTTACACCATGTCCCATGTTCAAACACTCATAAAAAGTGTTCCTTCATAGGTTTGCTCATTCATTCATTTGATTCCTGTTCAGAGTGACTCTGACTATTACTGTATTTCTTATCAAGTAATTTTACTGTATAGTTTTGGAGAAAAGTAAAGGCAAACTCACCCCAATCATCAAACTGCATTGTAGCACTTACACCATGTCCCATGTTCAAACACTCATAAAAAGTGTTCCTTCATAGGTTTGCTCATTTGTTCATTGGATTCCTGTTCAGAGTGACCCTGACTATTACTGTAATTATTTTCAGGTAATTTTACTGTATGGTTTTGGAGAAGAGTAAAGGCAAACTCACCCCAATCATCAAACTGCATTGTAGCACTTACACCATGTCCCATGTTCAAACAATCATAAAAAGTGTTCCTTCATAGGTTTGCTCATTCATTCATTTCATTCCTGTTCAGAGTGACCCTGACTATTACTGTAATTATTTTCAGGTAATTTTACTGTATGGTTTTGGAGAAGAGTAAAGGCAAACTCACCCCAATCATCAAACTACATTATAGCACTTACACCATGTCCCATGTTCAAACACTCAAAAAAAGTGTTCCTTCATAGGTTTGCTCATTCATTCATTTCATTCCTGTTCAGAGTGACTCTGACTATTACTGTATTTCTTATCAAGTAATTTTACTGTATAGTTTTGGAGAAGAGTAAAGGCAAACTCACCCCAATCATCAAACTGCATTGTAGCACTTACACCATGTCCCATGTTCAAACAATCATAAAAAGTGTTCCTTCATAGGTTTGCTCATTCATTCATTTGATTCCTGTTCAGAGTGACTCTGACTATTACTGTATTTATTATCAAGTAATTTTACTGTATAGTTTTGGAGAAAAGTAAAGGCAAACTCACCCCAATCATCAAACTGCATTGTAGCACTTACACCATGTCCCATGTTCAAACACTCATAAAAAGTGTTCCTTCATAGGTCTGCTCATTTGTTCATTGGATTCCTGTTCAGAGTGACCCTGACTATTACTGTAATTATTTTCAGGTAATTTTACTTTATAGTTTAGGAGAAGAGTAAAGGCAAACTCACCCCAATCATCAAACTGCATTCTAGAACTTACACCATGTCCCATGTTCAAACACTCATAAAAACTGTTCCTTCATAGGTTTGCTCATTCATTCATTTGATTCCTGTTCAGAGTGACTCTGACTATTACTTTATTTATTATCAAGTAATTTTACTGTACAGTTTTGGAGAAAAGTAAAGGCAAACTCACCCCAATCATCAAACTGCATTGTAGCACTTACACCATGTCCCATGTTCAAACACTCATAAAAACTGTTCCTTCATAGGTTTGCTCATTTGCTCATTGGATTCCTGTTCAGAGTGACCCTGACTATTACTGTAATTATTTTCAGGTAATTTTACTGTATAGTTTTGGAGAAGAGTAAAGGCAAACTCACCCCAATCATCAAACTGCATTGTAGCACTTACACCATGTCCCATGTTCAAACACTCATAAAAAGTGTTCCTTCATAGGTTTGCTCATTTGTTCATTGGATTCCTGTTCAGAGTGACCCTGAATATTACTGTAATTATTTTCAGGTAATTTTACTGTATAGTTTTGGAGAAGAGTAAAGGCAAACTCACCCCAATCATCAAACTGCATTCTAGCACTTACACCATGTCCCATGTTCAAACACTCATAAAAAGTGTTCCTTCATAGGTTTGCTCATTTGTTCATTGGATTCCTGTTCAGAGTGACCCTGACTATTACTGTAATTAATTTCAGGTAATTTTACTGTATAGTTTTGGAGAAGAGTAAAGGCAAACTCACCCCAATCATCAAACTGCATTGTAGCACTTACACCATGTCCCATGTTCAAACACTCATACAAAGTGTTCCTTCATAGGTTTGCTCATTTGGTCATTGGATTCCTGTTCAGAGTGACCCTGACTATTACTGTAATTAATTTCAGGTAATTTTACTGTATAGTTTTGGAGAAGAGTAAAGGCAAACTCACCCCAATCATCAAACTGCATTGTAGCACTTACACCATGTCCCATGTTCAAACACTCATACAAAGTGTTCCTTCATAGGTTTGCTCATTTGGTCATTGGATTCCTGTTCAGAGTGACCCTGACTATTACTGTAATTAATTTCAGGTAATTTTACTGTATAGTTTTGGAGAAGAGTAAAGGCAAACTCACCCCAATCATCAAACTGCATTGTAGCACTTACACCATGTCCCATGTTCAAACACTCATAAAAAGTGTTCCTTCATAGGTTTGCTCATTCATTCATTTGATTCCTGTTCAGAGTGACTCTGACTATTACTGTATTTATTATCAAGTAATTTTACTGTATAGTTTTGGAGAAAAGTAAAGGCAAACTCACCCCAATCATCAAACTGCATTGTAGCACTTACACCATGTCCCATGTTCAAACACTCATAAAAAGTGTTCCTTCATAGGTTTGCTCATTCATTCATTTGATTCCTGTTCAAAGTGACTCTGACTATTACTGTATTTATTATCAAGTAATTTCACTGTATAGTTTTGGAGAAAAGTAAAGGCAAACTCACCCCAATCATCAAACTGCATTGTAGCACTTACACCATGTCCCATGTTCAAACACTCATAAAAAGTGTTCCTTCATAGGTTTGCTCATTTGTTCATTGGATCCCTGTTCAGAGTGACCCTGACTATTACTGTAATTATTTTCAAGTAATTTTACTTTATAGTTTTGGAGAAGAGTAAAGGCAAACTCACCCCAATCATCAAACTGCATTCTATCACTTACACCATGTCCCATGTTCAAACACTCATAAAAAGTGTTCCTTCATAGGTTTGCTCATTCGTTCATTGGATTCCTGTTCAGAGTGACCCTGACTATTACTGTAATTATTTTCA